CAATCGTTGAACGAAAATATTTTAATACTGTTCTGGAAACTCTAATTAACACTACCACAACCAACATGACATACAGGCCAGAGACATCGATTTGTGACGTCACCGCACTAGTCCGGCTTTTGTATTGTTCTATATGGTACTGCATATAGTTTTTGCATAAATAATAGTTTTTATTGATAATTTTGCCAGATATAAATATGAAAAATATTATACAGAAAGGTATTAAAAAATAACTTTAACTTTTTATCGCGTTAAAGTAATTGAATAGCATTAAAATTTAGATCTAAAGCACGAATATTAATATGAAATAAACTACAGCAAAGATGAACAAAATAAAATCTAGATAATAAAAAAAGCGTATCCTACTATTGCGTTAGCGAGTATTTAGCAACTAGTAATAATATACCTGTAATAAAAAGTTTCCAAATATTAAAAAATTTGAAAACTATACGTTTATCGACAAGTTAAGAAAATGTATTGTATATGATAACGGCAGAATACATTTTAAAGTTTAATTAAAAATAATTGTAAAAATTTGCCTAACATATTTAAAAAATGTGGATATCCGATAGAATTAACTATTAACATTAAGTAATTTGTAGTTCGATGTTCACCAAGTAGCCATCTCCATAAATCGTAAATAAAAAGATAAAGATATCATTTTTTTATATAAAATACTGAAATAAAGTACAAATTCATTTAATTTCTTTAAAATATATTGCCATTTCATAATAATAATATATATTTCATAATAATAATAATACTTTTCAATATTTATTTCATCCTGAATTTCCAACAGCAGTTTTTTGCCAGCAGTTTTTTGAAAAACTTGATAACTTATTTTCACAATAATATTTTTCTACGTTTATTTACGTAAAAAGAAGTAGGACTCTCTAAAAAATTAGTCAATTTCGAAAAAAAAATAATTTGGGCGTTAATGGGTTAGTGTAGTAATAGTAAAGTAACAGTGCAATAATTTCTTTGAAAATTTTAATTTTATTGTGCCGATGCCGGTAAAAAGAAATATGTATTTCCCTTCGCCATATTGTCAAGAAAAAAATTAGTAAGTTTAAATATATTTAAAAATAGAATATAGGGAGAATATTATTTATGTTGGTATATACATATTCATGAATTTATTAAAGAAAATTTGCGAATTTGTTGTTCTTTCCTGGGATTATTTTATGTTATTTATTTTTTATTCTACAATCGTTTTTTTAAGAGGTAATGAATCTAGAAGGATATTGGTTCAAAACTTAAACCTGTGCTTAAACTAACAGTAACATATTGCGAATTCCAGAAAGAGTATTATCACAGATTATAGTATTATTGTTTATGCCCCACCGCCTAACGCGATGGCGCCAAATTCGAATTGTCGCCAAGACGCTTATTTACCTAGACGGACTCTGGCGCGCCTCATCGAAAACAACTATTTAATTCGGACAAACAAGCATATCCTTCGAGGGTGAATTTATGTTTTGTTTATGTTGTCGATAAATTGAATGGTGGCGAGTTGTTTTCCGTAAACAAAAATCGGAGAGAAGTTGTCGGTCGGGCGAAGGGCCGCCGTCGCCGTCGAGACAGGCGACAGAAGCGCCGCGACGCCGGCCCGTGCGGTTTGGCCCGACGCCGAAGAAGGACGCCAGCCGACGGACGGACGGCGCGGCCTTTAAAAAAGCGACGCCACCACCGTGGGGGATATCACCCAGAGGGGAACAGATGAACGTGTATAATAATCAACTGTTTGTGTGGGCAGTTCTTTGTTCTGTGTTTGTTCTGCTTTTTCAGGAAGATTTCGTATTTTCGTTTTGATTTGACAGAGTCCAGTGGCGACTCGTCGTTCAATATTTTGCGGTTGAACAAACTTGGCGCCGGGAGGCACGTATAGCCGCCCATACTAAAATATGTTAATAAAAAGTTGGTAGGCGGTTCTTTTAGTTTCAAAGTAAAGGAATTTTTCCAATTTTGGTCTGCGGTTATTTCCCGTATCCGCCACCTGGGGTCGCGTCCGATGGGAGTTTGGAGTTCTCCACACGGATTTTCTCAAAAACAGACTACGGAAACACGGAATATCTCAAAAACTGCGATTTTGACTGTTTTTAATGTTATTACAAATTTTGTTGCAAATATTATTCCTAATCTTAAATTGAAAACCGCGTTTCGCTAGCTACTGTAATTTTGGAGTTTATTAAATTTTTAACCCCCTCCCATATCCCCTTACAAACCCCCCACCCCCACCAAAAACTAATGGCCAGATTCTCGGGTGCCACAGTATTTTTGTGCCAAATTTGGTTAAAATCGGTTTAGCGGTTTTTGAGTTATCGTGTTACAGATGGACAGACGGACAGACAGACAGACACCATGAACATATTTTGTATTTAGGTCATTTATGACCCAAATAATTCATTTTGAGTGAAATTAAAAAAACTTTTTTTTGCCGATCTTAGCCTACCATATCGGTTGGTATGGTTGGCTAAAAATTATCACGCGTCCACCTCCACGGATTTTGAGTCTTTTTGAGTTAACAAATCGTTAAGAATTTAAAGCCACAGGTTACAGGGTCTCATTTTATTAAAAAAAATATGAGCAATTGTTTCTGGAATAAATAGAATCCCATCAAAAACATAGAATGTAAAAAAATACATACAGCAAATCTCGCAAGACAATTCTTCCACTATAAAAAATTGTAAGATCTCATGTAAAATCAAGTTTTGTCAAATTTACAACACATCTAGTACCTTAGAATTTTGATGAAGTGTTAGTGAGTCAATGTCGAAATTAAAGAAATTTGACAAGCTATAGTAATTCATAAACTATGAGGTATAATAAGCCAGTCGCCAAGTATTAAAAAATAGCTTATGGCGGGAGCAAATCCGGACAAGCTAGAACAAATTTTATTTTGTTTAGTTTAGTGTAAGGGACCACGTGTTAAATTTGCACCACCCCCAAAGCCAGGATTTGGAAGAAATTGCTAAAATTCGGTTTATTTTTTATTATTTGTCAATAACTCGATTTCTATCAACTTTAGTGCAAAAAATGTACAGACAAAATTAAAGAAGAGGAAAAACTCTCTAAAAAACGTTCTATGTACTTTTTCCGTGCGACGACCCGTTTCCAAGTTATCTCTTAAACACGCTAAATATATTATAAGCAGTTATTATTTCCTCTATTCTAGGCAGTTTTTGTCTTTCCGAGAACCCTACTCTTTTTATTTCTCCACGCATTTAGTGGCTGCGACACCACATCCGCATTATACATGCAGACAAGGAAAAATTAAATTCGTTAAAGTTTCACAGAAAGAAAACGAATTATTACAGACAGCTGCACAAACTTTCAAAGACCCAAACGCATCCCCAGAAGATACAGAAAAAGCTGGAGAACGATTTCTTCTTCTTCGACTCATTAGATAAGTACAGATACCAGTGTTTCGTAAAATCTATTACCAAAAGCTTACCAACATTACCACCGACCAAAAACGCACTCCTTCCGTACGTACAGTCAGATACAGCTATGGTATGGAAATGAAAAATCACCTCTGGATTGGAGCTGGAAAAATTCAAAGAATGCTCATTGCTACTTCCCAAGATGTAGTTGCCGATGTAGTTCCCCTTGTAGTTGCCGCAAAGCAGGTTTGCGTTGCTCGGTAATGTGTGCACTTTGTCAGGGCAAATCATGTTAGAATAGTTTGGAGTTGGCAAAATTAGACGAAGATGAGTACGAGGACAATTTTCCTCTCGATAAAGATCAACGAAAAGAATATTCTGCACCTTATGAACCAGATCCGGAATATGATACAGACGTGGAAGACATTCAGGAAGATTGTATTGACCAGCCAGTAACATCAAAAAAACGAAGGAACTCTGATGAACATTTCACCTCAAAAGAAACCTGCTAAGTTGACGACATGTGGATTAGGCTTATTGGAAATGGGAAGACCACTCAAAAAAAAACGCGTCGGTTACTTTACCTCAAGGCAGCTCCCTGAGAGATAAGGCGGTTAAACTTGAGTTTCCACCAGTGCAGTCGCGCAACAATAAAAATTTAGTCCGTTATTGCGGTCATAATGCAAATTGCGTTCTTCCATTATGACCGCGACAGCAGACTACTGCAAGCAAGGTAGTTACTACAAAGTTTTTAGGCTTTATGTCTCGGGGGGTGTTAAGTTAACCCCGGATATATTGAACACGTACATCATATCAAATTTTAATTTTGTTTTCCTAAAATTCGATACTTTGGGTAGTCGCACGAAAAAAACCCATACAATGTTTTTTATACAGTTTTTCCTCTTCTTTAATTTTGGTCTCTACATATTTTGCACTAAAGTTGATAGAAATCGAGTTATTGACAAATAATGAAAAATAAACCGAATTTTAGCCAATTTTTCCAAGATGCCGGCCAAATCCGGGCTTTACGGGGAGTGCAAATTTCATACGTGTTTCTCGGCACCAAACTAAACAAAATAAAACTTATTCCAGCTTGTCCGGATTTGTTCCCGCCATCGATGCACTTGCCGACTGGCCTGTAATTACTAGATAGTTTGGTAATCTAGCCAGCTATAGTATGTCCTATGTCTTCACGTTTAGTAAAAATTAATATTCTTGCTTTATCCACAACTAAGTAACACAGTGATCAAAAGTGCCGCTAAAACCTTCGAAAAAAGGATGTGTGACTGTGCTCGATTTAGCGGGGGCAGTACCGTGCCCCCAGATTATTAGAAAAATTATGAAATATCAATTAGTTGTTTGTTTTTCTCTAGTATAATGACCAGCAAATAACTGCCCTTTTAAATATTAGCGTATTTTTAAGAAACACCCCGTATAGATTTCGTTTAAGATAGAACAACTTCAAAAGAACTTTAAAGCGAAAATACATTTAAATTGTATTATTTCCTACATCATGAATGTCTTAAAAAAAGTACTGTTTCTGGTCCACCCTGTAGATAACAGAGGGTAATTTTAGACAGATTCTTTGATAAATCGTTTAAATCAAACGATGATGACATTGGCATATAATATTTAAATTTAAAAATTTAATGGGAATATTTTTAGATATATAGAAAAAAATCATAAATTATAGTTATACAAAAAATGTGACGAGATGAATTATTACAGTAATTGGAAATACTGGGGATTGTTCTGGTAAGTTTTTAACAAAATTTTAAATGGACTTCACTATCATCATTGTCAGCTTATTCAACCATATCCAATCATGGTGTAGCCTCTATTATTTAATATCATGGTCCCATCTCAGGTTTGATCTTCTTCTAGGCAGGGGCGTAGATAGGTGTATGCTATGGGGGTGGTACTATGATTAAGTCGCAAAAAAAATCACCCTCGGAATTTTTTTGTCGAACCAAAACGACGGCGATTTTTCTGTCTTCAAAAAGATATAAAAACATAACACAAAAATTAAAATATAGATTTGTAAATAACAGAAACAAAAATGAAACAACGACGTTTATTAGTTAATTTTCTATAAACTATAAATAAAAAACTCTAAACTATCAAAAAAAAACTATATAAACTATAAACTATAAATAAAACTACAAAACAAAATCAAGTTTTCTAGTACGCTGTTTGGAAAACCTATCAATAACAGCATCAACATTTATTTCAATATCTTTATGGATATTAATTATAGTTAACCCCACTAATCTGTCCTGGCCAATAAGAACACTTTGTGTGCTTTTAATTAGGTCAAACATATTATGAACGATAAATCAACATAATTAAAAGCATACAAAGTGTTCTTATATGTCGGATATTAATTAAAAAAAATCCTTTCATAGTCAATGACTATTTCAATTCTCGTATCTCGTCAAGCGTCAGGGGGGGGGGGGTACTGTCCCCCAGTACCCCCCCCCCTTATCTACGCCCTTGCTTCTAGGTCTTTTAATTCCTCGTGGGTACCACGCTGTAATTTTTATGGTCCATCTGTTGTCCAGTCTTCTTGCCAAGTGTCCTACCCATTGCCACTTGAGGAATTTGATTCTGTTGGTGACAACTATTACCTGGGTCCCGTTTCTCGTATCTACTCTATTCTTTTAGGCCTTTCTTGGTTATTCTCAGCATATTTCGTTCTACTAAGCGTTGTGCGACCTGTAGTTTCCTTATAATGTCCGTTTTAAGTGTCCAGGTTTCGCATGCATAGGTCATGACTGGTAGTACACATTGGTCGAATGTTTTCTTCTTTAAGTGACATTCTCGGTTTGAATATGATCGAGTTTCTTCAGTAAGTACTCCATGATAACTTAATTCTGTTGATTTCTGGTAGTAGAAATCCCGAGCTGTGTTCTTATTAGATGTCCCCTTGTTGTCCCAAATATAATTTTCTTCTACTTTTTCCAGTGTGTCTTTTCTGTTTACTAGTTCGTTGTACATTACTTTAGTTTTTGCTAAATTCATTTTGAAACCTACCTTAATGCTGGCTGTATTTAGTTCGTTAATTTGTGCTTGTATTAGTTCTTCAGAACTATTGGCAATTAGGACTATGTCGTCAGCGAATCTTTGAGATGGTTAAGATATTTTTCATCTATTTTTAATCCTTTGTTAGTCCAGTGCCCAGTTCAGTTGACGGAAGATTTTTTCTAGTGTTGCCGTAACACTGACAAGCTGATCTATAGAGCTATATTTTTATAACATTGGGATACCCTGTATTCTACAATGAACGGACATGGCTTTGTTTTTCTACAGGGTAACCCGAACTGTATTCCGGAAACTTCGGCAGCATATTCTGCAGATAAAAATAAGTAAAAAAGTTCGTATAAATGTATGTCCTAGAATACTTAGTTTCGGACAGTTGCGCATCCAGAGATTGAGTCTGGGACGGGTGGTGGCAATATTTAAATAAAGTAATATGTTTAAATTAAATTTTCGCTCAAAGGTATTATGACTATATGGAAAAAATAAACTAAGATTGTTCTGGACTTCTATTTCGATTGACATTATTAATTTATTTTGTGACAATTTTCTTTTATACCAGATTTTCTTATTTGTAATTTTTTTCCTGGGAGGGGTAATTACCCCCATTACCCTTCCCGTATATGCGCCCCTGGTTTCGGAGATACAGGGTGTAGAAGTTTCATTTTTCTTCCAAATACTTTATAAAGGAATGTAAATATTTGGATCAAAATTGGTGTTTGGGAGTTTTTTGACATGAGAAATTTGATTTTAGTGTCAATATGACTCCTACTTGTAGAGGGCGCCACTTACATTATTTTTAACTGGTTTGAAGAGTCGGTCTTAGTCCGAACCTGTATAAAACTACTGAGTAAAAAAATATACATTTACGACGTTTTTACGTAAAAAAGGGCCCCTGTAAAAATCGCTGCGAGTAGTGGGTCTCGAGATATTTGGAATCTAAATTATTAGTATCTGTCATCCATGACATAAATTAAACATGTTGACTAAATAGTTATTAGACTGAAATCATAAATTTGAAATGTTTTTGTGCCAAAAGATTAACAGAAATATTATGTTTTATCATAATTTTTCCGAAGAAAAATTTACGATTAATTTAAAAAAAATAAAAAGTTCCCAAATTTATCATTTCAGTTAAATAACTATCTACTCAACATTTCTTCTTCTTCTTTCTTCTCAAACTTTCATTTTCAGGAGAGAGCTGCGTTGCCTAGGCTGCCAGGACCATTCTGGCAAAGTACTTTTCTGCTTTTCTTTTCTGGGGGTGCCCGCACCCCCAGGTATTGCTGGGCACCCCCCCAGAGAGATCCTGAATTATGACTCTTGGCTACGTATTCATTTTTATTTGCTTGTGATGCAGTAAAAATGACGTTTTCTAGTTTTGTTTAGTTAACATTATTTTGTGGGGTTCAAAAAATGTGTTAATTTTTATTTTTTTAGAAAATTTGTAGGTATTTAAGTAATCTACGGGAACAGGGTTTGATAACCAAGTAATTAATGTAAACGTTTTATTCAAAAAAAGCCCTAGGCGCTCTGGGCTCAACCCCAGACCCCCCAGGCCTACCACAGGATAAATTTCTAGTTACGCTAATGATATTGCTTCCTAAGTTTGTAGATTGTTTGGGAGTGAGAAAGTTGTAGAATATTTGTGTACAGGGTGTACGCTCTCAACAGGACACCCTGTACTCTACCACGAAAGAAAAACATTATAAAATAAAATAATCGAATTGAGAAAAGGTTTATTAAATCATTTTCTAAAAACAACCCCGGCGATAAACTAACAAACAACAAGGAGGCCAAGGGACCCTCTCCCCATATTACTTCCCCATTTGAGCGTCGTCCGGCGTCGGCGTCCCTCCGACGACGGATCAAGGTGGCGTCGTCTTCGGCTGGCGGCAGGACCGGCGGCGTCGACGGCCGCGACGCCCGGCGTCTTCCTGCTGGCGGCGTCGTCGCGCTCTTGTTTGTTCCTTCGCCAGGCACCAGGGGGACTGACCGTGGCGCTGTTCGCCCCCGTTTCCTTATGATCTCTTTTTTGATTAATACGTCGTGAGTGCCTATAGGGAACTATATACTGATGGGGTGGTTGGTTTTGGTGAGTCACACGGTTTGTTTATTTCGAGGAATTGTGACGCCGGTGATTTGACAGGGTGTCCTAATCTTCCGTATACCCTTTGGTTCAAAATAAAATACATACTAAACTATTAAGAGTCTATTTCACTAATCCGAGAAAGTAGCGAAATAAGCGTTCGGCATTTAACGTTTTATCTAAAACTGGCTAGGTATTTTTACACATAGTTCATAATTACAATTACACATAGTCATTGGGGATCAAAAAAGGCGTCTGCATGGAAAAAAGTCCGGAAGTTTTGAAACTTTGCAGGTTTATAGGTTTTGGGGTCCCTAACTAAAATCCATAAAATGCACATTTCCAGACTTGCCGCCGGCGCCGCCATCTTGCTAAGATGGCGCCCGAAATCGGTATTTTGTGAATATCTCGAAAACTATGCATTTTTCGCGAAAATTTGAGGAGAGCAAAATTAAAGAGAATAAAATTTCATATAAAAAAAGGTTTATGAAAATTTTCGCTAAAGTCAACAGTTTAGGCACAAAATCCCTGGAAATTTTACAATTTTGCGTAAAATATTGTTGCGGACCGGTGTGGACTCGACCTAACCTAACTATATGGCCCGCCCTCAGATAACCTTAACATCGCATTAAAGAATAGACACCGTAATAATTCATTCGAAGTTTCGAGAAGAATCGAGTTCCACTGGAATGGAGCAGTACATACGAGAACAATCGAAACCTTCTCTATGCACCTAACGGTCTATGGACTATTCTAGAAATCTTTAGCTGTGGGAATAAAAGCCGGCGGCTGGGGCCTAGAGAGGGCAGATATAAATAAGATGAGTACAGTTGACGCGCTAAGTTCAAAATAAATTCTTTCTAGATAAATAGTGGTAAATCGTTTGTAAATAATTCTTTAAGTCTTTTATCGTTATTGTTTTTGTTAATTAGTGTTAAATAAATTGTGTTTAAATAAATTGTGACTTTCTATCCACACGGAACCGAGGAAAAACGTAACAATATGATATATTATGTATAGTCGATTTTCCGAAATCAAATGTCGATTAGGGTTCACTAAAACTAGTATTAGTTTTTCAATTTTGTCATAAAACAGTGGCGTATCATTAATTCGCTCATATTAATTTATGAATAATTAATTGTCGTGCTGGACAAATCCCTGTTGGCATTTTTATCCTGTAAATGCAAAACCAACAACTATAGTAAAGCCTGCGGATGCAGAAAAGCAGGATTAAAACGTTCAATGATTTGTGCATACTGCAATGGGAAATCCTGTGACAACGTCACTGAAGTGTCACTCGACGAATCCGATGAAGAGGAGTTGGACTTGCCTGTAGATATCCCTCTGGCGGCTGAAGATGAAGAGTATGGTTTGGTTGGACGTATTGAGAGACCACCCTTTTTTTTTAGAATTTAGAATGAGTGGGAGGGGGGTTAATCACTTCGACCTTACAGATCCATTGTCCCCCTTTCTTGAATCATAACTCCCATCATACAGTCCCAGGGCTTTGACAAAAGCCAGTATCTGGGACGGTTTTATAGAGGGTAGTTCTCCATCTCCAATATCAGTCGTACCAAAATTCATGGCACGAATGGTTGTCGTCTCGGCGCACTCAGTGATGAGGTGTACT